GGTGCAGTAGACCCCACTCGAACTGCTATTGGGGCTGTTGATCCAACAAAAACTGCTATTGGTGCTGTAGATCTTACCCGAACAGCTATTGGAGCTGTTGATCAGACTCGAACTGCGATTGGTGCTGTGGATCCAACGAAAACTGCCATCGGTGCAGTAGACCCCACTCGAACTGCCATCGGTGCAGTAGACCCCACTCGAACTGCCATCGGTGTTGTAGATCCCACTCGAACCGCTATCGGTGCAGTAGACCCCACTCGAACTGCTATTGGGGCTGTTGATCCAACGAAAACTGCTATTGGGGTTGTTGATCCAACGAAAACTGCTATCGGTGCTGTGGACCCCACTAAAACAGCTATTGGTGCGATAGACCCAACAAAAACTGCCATCGGGTCTCCGACTGCAGATTTCACAAAAACAGCTATTGGAGCGCCAGCTGGTTCGCCAGGTAATATGGGGCAAGCAACAAACTAGCTTTAATTTGATTGTTTTGAAAGCTTTTGGATGTCTAGATAATTTTATTTTATAAAAGTGGAATTTTATATTTGAAATAATATATTAGGAAAAGCATATGTTTAAAAATGGAAAGATTTCAGCACCACCAATAGGAGGTTACTCGCCAACAGCCCCAGGTGGAGGTGGAGCTACGTCCGCATATTTCGGTGTTGGTGGAGGTTGTTGTTGTTGTCTTTGTTTCTTTTACATTGAATTTCAAAATTTTTGAATTCCAAATTTTTTATCTCCGAATTTTAACAGCTAAGCTCAAGTTTAAAAATTTCCAATCTAAAAAACTTTGTATAAAATAATTCAAGTTTAAGATCAGCGATATTTTAAATATTTATAGGTGGTGGTGGTGGCTACACTTCCGCTTACTTTGGTGTTGGTGGTGGCGGTGGCGGTGGTATCAAGCCTGCTGGTGGTGGTGCTTTTGGCGGAGGCGGTACCGGGAGCCCAGGTGTATCGGCATATTTTGCTCCATCGGGCGGAGGAGCTGGTGGTGCACCAGGAGCGACTTCAGCCTATTTCTCTGTTCGATAGAGCAATTATCAAATATTCACAGGAGGAACTTAGATTTCTATATGCCGCAGCACTGAATACAACTATTACTCTATTCGCAATCATATGATTATTCATCGAAGAAATGGCATTCAAAAAATGCTTCTATACTTCCTCATTTCTAACACTATCTCTAACCACAATATTCACAATCCACTCCTGTGTGCATATCCACATATGTGTATCGCCAAATGTATTGTATTGACAGTGTACGGAAAGAATAAATCTTCCCTAATACTGTTTTTTGAATGGAAATTATCAAAACTATACGACTAACAGGCAATGGATGAAGTATATTGCCTTGATGGGAACCAATTTCTTTGAGCTAAGCTAATCAATCGTTAAGTCCAACGGAAGCAACGTACAAAGTTCGATGAAAAAATCACTTTTTTAAAGAAAAATTAAAGGAACCCAAGCAGTTAGTAATAAATTCGAAGAGATTCATAGGGAGCGCAGTGTAGTTCGGTTTTTTAATGTGTTGTGTTCTGAGTCTGCCATGGATTCTTGGACCATTTGTTGTGATGAATTGTTCCTGAAAAACCTGAAGAATCCTTCGAATAAGACTTAAAAAGATATGAAGTCTGAGCAAGATATCCTCTCACCATCGGGAAGTATCACTGCAGATTCGAAATATGTCAATGTAGTAATATATGATTTCTCTAAACTCCAAACTGCAAAACGCATGAAGGTGCACTACGACCAGGGTAGTAGATAAATATTTTATAGGAAATAGCAGTACGAAATGAGTTTGATAATGACTTCTTCATGAAACGAGATTCTTTCTGAATTAGAAACATAGTAGGATACACATAGCAAACGCAGGGTTAGGAAAACAACATTTTGCTCTAAAGTAAGAAATCTGACTAAAATGGTTCCTACAAGGATTAAGATGAGCATAATGAGATGATAAGTTTCACGAATAAAAGTTGCATAAGTACAAAATCTATGCAGTAGCAAGAAACAATTTTAGGTAAAAACTTAACAAAAAAATGGATAACAAGTTATGAAGGCATCGCATTGAAATTGCATCAGATATGAAAATTCAATGCCAAAAAAAACTTCATAATGTGCCCCAATCAATGGCTGGTCGTCCAAGTTTCACCAGTGCTTCATTGGTTCTTGAAAAGCATTTGCAACCGAAAAACATGCGTGCACTTAATGGAGATGGATGTGCAGTCTGGAAAATTTTAAGAATTCTATGATTACTTGTTTCCAAGCCTTAGCGGTTCAATATATTTCAAAAAATATATTGAAAAATTGTTACCTTGATAACGACATGCTTTTTCTTGTCAATTATATGTTCCTTTTTGTGAGCGAATCCTCCCCAAAGCAAAAAAACGACTCCTTTACAGTCACGTGAAATGATGCGAATTACTTCATCAGTGAACTTTTGCCATCCTATATGATTATGCGAATTTGGTCGATGAGCTCTAGACGATTAAGGAATCAGAACAATTTTCACGATTAAATAATAAGAACAAATAAAAACGATTTGGATATAAAAATGCATTTTTTAAACTGAATGACTGCAGTGTAATATATAGAATGTATATATGTCAAAAATTATACATTCTGTAACCAAGAACACTGAAACAGTTCAGTTCAATCACTCACTACAACGATTTACTTTGCTCATCGCTTGCTTGGATGCTTAACCGGCCTTACATAAACTTCCTCAAACTAAATGATTGCAGTATCAGTTGTAAGATCATCCATTCGATTCACCAATCAATTAGCTTGTCGATGATTATAAAAAAACTTTAGAAAAAGCTGGCACTGTAACAGCATATTTAGATGAATAGGAGGTTGCAAACTTCAAATACTAACATCCTTATAATTAAGAATACTTACTCGACAGTAAGTGTAGCGTTCAACATAAAGACACCTTGGCAGGCCCAAGATTGGAGGCAGCCATGATCGGGAATTTTGAAATTTGGTATATCCGTCTTCAGTTCCTTAAATATTGTAAATAAAGTATATATGATCAGAACTACTGTAAAAATATCATGAGTTTCAAACAACTAACTTTGTAGATATTTATAAGCGAAGGTGGAGGTCTGACACCTTTGCAAACTGAGAAGCACAGCCCATGTGCCTGAAATCCCATTTGTACTTTACGATTAATATAAGTACATGCTTAGATTCGAATTGTTGAGAAATATATAAAATACCTGATTTTCACCATGATAGGGATCTTGACCTATAAGTACAACGCGAATTCGATGAAGCGGAGTAAGATTAAAAGCATTGAAAATTTGGTGTTGCGGTGGAAAAATCTTCACTCCCTGAATGCAGATGACTCACAAATGAAAGTAATTTTTAATGAAGTGTTTGGGAGAATTCTAAATTCAGCTTCCGCCCAACTTGTAAAGCCTTTAAATGAATGAAATTTGTCACAACATTCTTCATTTGAAGATCACCTTTTCTTTCTCCGTCCTCAAAAATTTAACAATTTTATCCATATATTCCTTTCGAAACTCAGCCAAAAGCACTCTTCGCCAACCAATATCTTCAACCAGACTTTTTAGATATTCTATTGATCCTTGTAGCGTTGGTGCGACATCTTCTTTCTTTGCTTCTGAATAATTTCCAGAAGTGTTATTCATTTCTAAAATTAGAAAAAATACTGGGCTTGAAGCATCCAAAAACACATTCACCATAGTAAAATGTTATGAAACTTATCACAAAATGAGATCAAAATCAATATTTATCTCACTATGGATTAAATAACAAACAGATAACAAACCTGAAATATCTTTTTTTTCAACAAATGAAATATTTGATGCAGTTTTCTTTTCTAGTGGAATTTCTTGCCGTTTAAGCCAAGACATGAGATTACCGCATTTTATTGATCCTCCCGATGATGCTGCTTTGGCGATGGAAGATGTTTTATTCATTGAGACAGTATTCATATCAGTTATAAAAATAATAATTTATAAATACCTGTAAAGAGAATTATACCTGCAAAAAGGTGCCGCCACATTCAGCAAATGTCATAATCAAGGCTTCTTCAAATTACCAATCAATTAAAAAGCACCAAATGTTTTTACTGCACGATATAATTTCTGTATTACACGTATTAAGTCCATGCAACTGAATTAATGCAAAAATCAAGTTTCTGTATATTGTACATCAACATTACATATGCATCAACAACAGAGAATATTTGAATCTTTATGTTCCATGAATAAACAATATAAGAAAGAAAGTAGGATCAAGATCACCCGTCCTGAGTCAAAATTCTATCCTGAAAAGAAAAAGCAATAAACAACTTAGTGAAGCTTAAATCTGAATATTCACAAAACAAATCCCATAGTACTAAAATTTTTCAGAAATGGGATTCAAATCTTTGGATTTCACCGCTGAAGATAATACGCTGAATAATAAAAGCTCCAACCGAAGTCATTATCACAAATGAGAATAATATAAAGAAATACCACACAATCTGCAAATTCGCAAAAATAGTGCAAGATCAAAGTCGAAATTTTTACCATTTATTTTCGCTAACTGGATTTAAAAAAAAAACATTAAATTTTTTTAATTTCTTCATACTCAAATATATGCAAATAACAACACCAAATTAGACCCAAGCATAAAATTTTCGAAAAAATTCAACGAGGCCGGTAGTATAAATGCATTTGAAATGTATATCATCGAGGTGAAGTAAAAGCAGATGATGAGAACTGACCGCTTCGATTTTCTTCAAATACCGCATCTTCAGCTGTAGGAGCACCGATTACAGCTTCTCTTTTGATACTCCGTTCTGACGGACAACACACTGGAATTGGAACAGGAACACGCCGTTCTCTGACGCTCACATCCGAGGCAGAACAAACCGGAACACCGACACTGGTAGTTGCTTCTAAATTAATTGAAAATTTTCTGGAATTGAAAGGTTTTCCTTTTAATTGTCACAAAAAGTTCAAAGTTAAAAAAATAAGATTTTCAATAAAAAGGGAACCTGTAGCTTGCACTGGTGGTCGCTGCTGTTCCGATGGCTGTTGTTGCTGTTCTGTTAACGAAATCTTTGTTGTATCTGAATCTATATAATTGGTACTACTTGCACCTTTAGACCTCGCATTTGTTGAACGACGCCTTGAAGCAGGCGGGCGAGATTTTCTAAAAATATAAAAGTCAACAGGCTGAATTTTCAAAACCAAAAAATAGCGCTTCTATTAAAACGCGTTTTATATCAATCAGAAACTGAGCTAACTGAAACCATAACAAGTAGCATGTTTCTGGCTGTCTGATACTTTTATAAGTAATTTCATACGACACACTATGGTCAATCATTTTAGTCAAAACGTTGCAAACACATTACTTTTTAGGTGGCGCTTTTTCCTCGACAGTTTTTACTGACGAATCCGATTCATCTGATGAGTCACTCAGTTTTTCGTACAGCAACAAACGATCTAATAAGAAATTTTTGTCTCGTGAAAGCTTCAACAACTTTCTTTGCAAGTTTCGCAGCTCTTCTTGATAACATTCATTCTCCTAAAATAATTCAACTTTTGAAATATATACATCCATGATTTACATCTAACTTAACAAACAAGAGTAGCAGACATCGAGAAATAAAGTCAGCATCTCATTCTTGAGACATATCAGATCCATCACATAGAGTTCTCCGCCTTTAAAACTAATTTTCAACATAACGGAATGAAGCACAACACCTTATCCTTTGTATGTTAAGCTACAAATTAATGCTTGCTTTCAAGAACTCTCAATCAGAAGTATTCACTTTAAGAACTCACATAGACGAGAAATTTGAATCGATGTTTCAGTTCCCTGTATTCTTCTTTCGCTGTCAGTGGTCGGTGCTGCATGTCTTCCTCTTCCTCCTCGTCACCGTCATCACGTTGGTGTGTGAAATGCTTTTTTAATTGTTTCTGCAGTGGGAACTGTACATATCCATGTGACTGCATCTGTAATTGCTGCGACTGTTGTATCTGCTGCACTTGTACTTGCTGTTTCTGCTGAACTATTTGCGATTGATGTGGAAAATTTTGTTGTTGTTGCGGTTGTTGCAACACTTGAAGGTGTTGTTGTTGTTGTTGTTGCAATATTTGAGGCTGTTGACAATGTTGTTGTTGCTGCAGTATTTGCTGTTGCTGACAGTGTTGCTGCTGCAGTTGGAGATTCTGATGCTGCCCTTGCTGATTTAATGTTGTCGATTGCTTCAAGCACTTTTGTTGTTGCTGTTGCTGTTGGTGTTGTTGCATACGAGAAGACTGCAAAATATGCTGTTCACGAGCTTGCTGCAGCTGTAAAGTATGGTGCATTTGTTGTGATGGAGCATCGCACATGATCGGCTGTTGCTGATGGATGTTATCGTATTCTCCATCGAAACTTCTCGTTGTAGATCGAAGATGTTCTGCATGTGAACCACTACCTGGTGTGAACGACACAGAATGTTGTCGTTGGAAGTGAGTAACTGTAGCAGCTGCATTTGAAGAAGTTTGCAAAGGGGAAGGTGCATTAACTCGAGTTGATGAGAGCGGAGATGGGTTTAAGGATTGTGGCGGACATGAAGCAGTGCCTCGCAACTGAACCGAACACTGACCACCACTCGTCGATTGGGCAGAAAGAGGAGATGAGGAAGAAATTGCCGAAGAATGAGTATGCGGTGTGGAGGATGTTGTTCTTGAAGGTACAGGTGAGGGTACACAGTTCAGGGCATTTGTCACTTGTCCAGTCGACATATAACAGTTTTGGTTCTGAACTGATTGTTGTTGTCCAATTACATGACCAACAGAAGGTAACGGTTGCTGAGTTGTCACCAGAAAGGTCAGTTGTTGCTGCTGTGGAGTTACAGGGGTACCTTGATGACATCCTCCCAATGATCTATTATCAGTTAGCTGTTGCTGCTGTTCAGATTCTAGCATAACACCTGAAAATAAACTAGCCATTACTGATCTTAACATATCATTTAAGTTTAAATCTAAGATTACAATTAGATTTTAAACAACTGATAGATGAAGAATTGAGAAACAGCGTGAAAAACTCCATAAAAACTATGTCCGTTCTTAACGTTAATAAAATATAACAAGAGAACTAGAATGTATGCATGTAGAGAGATTAGGAGATACGGCATGGCAGAGTGTGGGAAAGTCCCACAGTTTCTTTTCAGGGCAACTACAATTTATATCCGCAGAAGCAATAACAAAGAGAAAGCGCGGATTAGAACATGAACCGAATTGGCATCCATTTGGCAAAAATATAGAAAAAGTGGAGGGCTTTACTAATATCCATTGTCGTCCGAAGCCATATGAAATGTCTGTCTAGTTATTGCAAACCAAAAAAGCTCATAAGCTTTTCGTGTTGTTGAGGGACGTCGGAAGGAATGGAAATAAGGTGAGAAAGTCGTGTCTGATATTCCCACTTCATTTTATGCCAAATCGTTGGGAAAATATCACATACAGGGAGCTTTCAATTAAAATCTTCTAGGATTTAAACTTTAGCAAAAGTTGGATCAGAAGGTAATGTAATGGAAATTATATTTTCATCATTGCCATTACTTCGAAAAAAAGAAACATAGTAGCATTGTATTTATAGGCGAGTCTCATTTTGCCCTTCATTCTACTAATATGTCAACAGTGTCTGCTGATTGAAGTTATGCTCAGTCAGCACTCACAGTAATTACATCACCAAAATGCCATTACATGCAGGGAAACAACAAGTCAGGGAACTATAATATTCTAACATGAAATACTTTTTACTACTATCAATTATGAAGTTAAATATCTTTTTATAATGGATTAACTCATGTCCAATTCACCTTTCCCTGCCCTAACTTCTTCCTCTCTTTCTTCCCTCTTCGTCTTCAGTGGTCATTTGAACAGATTAATCTTCCCATTCTTAGTTATTAGATTCATTAATGTTACCACAGATCTGATTTTTCGGGCCTGATTTTTTCGAATATTTCCAAAAGAAAGGCGTAATTTACAAAATCAAGCACTATGTAGGGCATTTAAGGGGAAAATTACCGAGATTCTACAACATAGATTTAAATCCCACCAGAAGCAGCCACTGCTCTGAACTTGCCACAGAGCGCTGCAAATCCCAGAACACTCTCGGGAATTTTTGTTTCATCCCGACACAGCTGAAAAGTGTAAAGGTAGCCGAAAAAGAATAGCCCGACCATTTTTTACCACAACTGTGTTATCCGGCCTGGATATATAGAAGTAGAATTGATAGAGGTAATGTGCGGGATCAGCGGGAATTTCGGAAGTGGGAGATTGGTGGGGAAGCGTTTGCTTAAACGAAAATGAGGATATTCCCAGGAAAATAGTAACAAAAAAATTAAGATGTTGGAAGCTTTGTGATGCAGCCTATGATAATTATTGCACAGATGAAAGACATTGGTATCCTGATAGTGGTTGGTTGACCGATAGTATGTCCAGTGTTTCAGAAGCACCATCTTCCTCTTTCCTTACTTAACTACTCCTTTAGTTCATTACTTAATGATCGCTCATTTGTGTATTAGTTTCATTGCTGAAAATATATAGATTATATAGAAGCTTAAAATTGATGGATGGCAATTCATAAAAAGTCTTATTTCTTCTCTTGTCATTTGCGAAGGAAAGGATAATATTATTAGTGTCAAGTTTGTCAGCTATGGTCTTTGTTTTGTTCCAGTTATATTAAGAATTTTGTGCATAAAGACGTGTCTTAACTAGGTTGGGTAATATCTGGTATACGAGCTTACCTTGTAAGCTCGTACACCGGATATTATCCAACTCGTCCTAATGTCTATTACAGTATTTCTCTCCTCGATTTTTCAGTTGTAGAGATAATGTATGAGGAAGATGAGGAAATCGAGGAAGTTTCTTTCGAGGAAGATGAAGAGATTTCATCAGAACAGTGGCAGGTGTGTCATATATCATCTCTTCCACTGTAACAGTAATGAACCTTCAATTATATCGATTCAATTCAGGAAGCCTGCTGGGTTGTGATTTCGGCGTATTTCGACGAAAAAGGTCTTGTAAGGCAGCAGTTGGATAGTTTCGATGAATTCATTCAGATGAATGTCCAGCGAATTGTTGAAGATTCACCTCCTGTTGAATTGCAATCTGAAGTCCAGCATTTTTCTGGTAATATACATTTATTAATGGTATTTGTTTACGAAATTTTCTGGATCATTACAGACCATAATTATGCAATTTAGGTGATATCGAGAATCCCATCAAATTCGCATTAAAATTTGATCAGATCTATCTTTCAAAGCCAACTCATTGGGAAAAAGACGGTGCTCCAACCCCCATGATGCCAAACGAGGCATGTTTTTTATTTTCAAATACTGATATAATTTCTTTTGCAAGCAAACTTTCTCAATAATAATTTGTTTATTAGTGTGATAAAAATGATAAAATTACTTGTTTGGAAGATTAGCACTACATAGACTTAGATTTAAGCTTATTTGCTGTTATTTTACTCGTAGTTGCAGAACGATTAATTTTAAATGATTTAAGGCGCGCTTACGAAATTTAACATATTCTTCTCCTCTATATATTGACATAACGAAGACAATGACACGAAACGGTGAAGAACCGAAAGAAACAAAATATGAAAAAGTGTTTGTCGGAAAGATTCCGATCATGCTTAGGTTCATTTTCAGCTTGGTTTCTGCTTCATCCTATTCAGCTTTCATTTTATTTAAATTTAAGTAGTTTTTTTAATGAAGCTAATTTTAACATGGAAAGAAATAAGTGTCGTTCTGTTATCACATTTTTAAGAAATCATATAATTCTATAAGTGGATTTAGATCTTCATATTGCATGTTAGCGAATATGTCTGATCGTGACTTATCCGAGCTGAACGAGTGTCCTTTGGATCCTGGCGGCTATTTTGTCATTAATGGATCTGAAAAGGTAGTTTTAATGTGATTGAATTCTATAAACATCAATTTTCTGCAGCTTGACCGGCAGTTCAAATCTTCAGTAAAAATTTTAATCTTCAGGTACTGATTGCTCAGGAAAAAATGGCCACGAATACAGTTTATGTTTTTTCTATGAAGGATGGGAAATATACGTACAAAACTGAGTGTCGTTCCTGTCTTGAAAATTCAAGGTAAAATGTTAATGAAATTTTGTTACTGATGATATTCTGCTACAACTTGTAACTACTGACATTGCGCACAAGGGTAAATAAAACAACTAGGTGACTGAGATTTTGTGTCTGTTCTCTCGATGATATTCAAGAAAAATTTGCAGGAATCTAGTGTGCCATTAAATTCCTGAAAATTTTTTCGATTTATATCTATATTAAGGTGAACTTAGTTTCACAAGTTATTTAATGCGAAATGTTTTAGCCGTCCAACGTCAACGCTATGGGTTAACATGTTACCTCGAAGTGGTGGAGGTAATAAGAAATCTGCCATGGGACCTAAAATTATTGCTATTTTACCATACATTAAACAGGTTCTTTTATCATATTCCTTCTGAAATCTTTTAATAATTTGATAATCAGTTAAATATTGATGAAAATTTAAGTAATGATGACAAAATTCTCATTCAGGAAATACCTGTGATGATCGTGTTTCGCGCCCTAGGTTTTGTCTCTGATCATGATATATTGGAGCACATAATTTACGATTTCGAAGATCCAGAAATGATGGAGATGGTAAAACCAAGTCTTGATGAAGCTTTTGTTATTCAGGTATATTTCATTTGAAATTTTAAACAGTGGTTTGATGAATGATGATTTGTTTACTCATTTTGTGTTACTTTGGCATTTACACCGCATGCTTTTTGGCAGTGGCTTCACAGTCCATTGTTTATAAAAGAGAATCTTTTGTTAAAAGAGCACTGGGCTATAAAGTCGCGACTAAAAAATCAAATGAACTGGTTCATCCTAAGAGAGTTAATTTTCTGCGCGGCTGTCTTTTTTAATTTTCTCTGATATTTCTCCACATTCCAAATTTAAACTGATTTGTTGTAATATTAAACTTGCAGGAACAAAACGTTGCGCTCAATTTCATTGGTGCACGTGGGGCCAAACCAGGTGTGACAAAGGAGCAACGTATTAAATATGCCAGAGAAATATTACAAAAGGAAATGCTCCCGCATGTTGGCATATCGGATTTTTGCGAAACGAAGAAAGCCGTATGTCATATAACCAGTTTTTTCTTTAGTTGAACAGTATTTTTCAGTGTTGTTATTTTCAATACATTTTTTTATTTTCTGTATGGAGAATATTTTCAATACCGGACGAGTAAGGCATTATGTAAGGGGAGCGTGATCAAAGTAAGTGCTGATGTGGGTGGAGTTATGGCGGGAGGTCTGGTGACTATGTATTTTTCATATCTGCACTAAGTTTTGTAAATGAAAGAAAATAAAAATATACTACTTTTCAGTATTTTTTGGGCTATATGGTCCATAGGCTATTATTAGCAGCGCTTGGGCGTCGCGAACTAGATGATCGTGATCATATGGGAAACAAGCGACTAGATCTTGCTGGACCTTTGCTAGCATTTCTTTTCCGGGCACTTTTCAGGAACCTTTTGAAAGAAGTAAATTTTCATAAATTTTTGAGTCAGTCGAAACCATTCTTTGCTGATTGTTTTTTAAAGTAATTTTCATCTGCTTCCTAATAAATCTCACGCGTTATTTGCAAAATTTTAAAGTACTTCCCACCATTTATTAGAACTATGCTTATTTTTATATTTTTTTAAGGTTCGCTTGACGGCACAGAAATACATTAATAAGAATGGTGATTTCATGTTAGATTTGTGCGTTAAAACACCACTTATCACACGAGGCCTTGCATATTCTTTAGCAACAGGTAATTGGGGAGACCAAAAAAAGGCACATCAATCAAGAGCCGGTGTCAGTCAGGTGCAACTTTATTTTTGATTTTCATAAATTGTTTTATTCATTCTTTGGTATGCATTGGTTATTTGACTGCAATGAATAGCTTTATTTTAGTTTCTACTCTTGATTTCAAGGGTGTATTATGAGTAATGAAATCATCTAGGTACTAAATCGTTTAACATACACTGCAACGTTGTCACACTTACGTCGTTGCAATTCACCAATTGGACGAGAAGGGAAGTTGGCAAAACCTCGTCAGCTGCATAACACACAGTGGGGTATGGTGTGTCCAGCCGAAACTCCTGAAGGACAAGCTGTAGGCTTAGTGAAGAATCTTGCACTTATGGCGTACATTTCTGTGGGTAGTTTGCCAGAACCAATTCTTGAATTTTTGGAAGAATGGTCTATGGAAAATCTCGAAGGTTAGTGGATTTATTCTTTGAAGGAATGAACAAATCCTAGTAAAAATTTAGATTACGATTTCTATCATATGTTGTAACTTTATGGTTGTTTATTTCGAGCTATTAATGATGAACATATTGCAGAAGTGGCACCAACAGCGATTGCTGACGCGACAAAGATTTTTGTCAATGGAGCTTGGGTCGGCATTCATAGAGATCCCGAACAACTGATGACCACGTTGAAAAAACTACGACGAGAAATGGATATTATTGTTTCAGAGGTACTGTTAACATCATTTTATTGGTATTTTTTTGGAATTTGAAAAAATGAAAATTATAGGTATCTATGGTGCGAGATATCAGAGATCGAGAAATTCGCATTTACACAGATGCTGGACGTGTCTGTAGGCCTCTACTGATTGTTGAGAATCAAAAATTGGCTCTGAAAAGAAAGCATATTGATCAGCTGAAAGATAACAGCTATACTTGGTCTGAACTTGTTGCGGGTGGCGTAGTCGAACTTATTGATGCTATGGAGGAAGGTACTAGCACTTTCCTATATATATAAATGTCCGTATTCTTGTATGATCAGCAAGTCAATCGATGAAGTTTGCAACAGGAATAAAATTTTTTCTGCTTTTTTATCAGGAAGGGGAGATGGCTTGATCTATTGCTTTAATTCCAAATATCTCTATCTTCGATGCAACTTCAATTTTCGTGAGAAAGTGAATAGCAATATTTTTTTTATTTTACTTCACTGTTTTATAGAGACCGTGATGCTTGCAATGATGCCAGAGGATTTGAAAGCTGGAGGATACTGCGATACTTACACACACTGTGAAATTCATCCGGCAATGATTTTAGGTGTTTGTGCCTCAATCATACCCTTTCCGGATCATAATCAAAGTCCACGAAACACATATCAAGTATGCCTTTGTAAATATTTAGATTCCTTGAAATTGTAGTGCTCTTATAAAATCTTTTTTTTAGAGCGCGATGGGTAAACAAGCTATGGGTGTCTATACCACCAATTTTCATGTTAGGATGGACACTCTTGCTCATGTGCTATATTATCCACAAAAGCCTTTGGTTACAACTAGATCTATGGAGTACCTAAGGTATCATATCAACGATATTTTCAGAATTCTTAGAAAAATATAAAATTATATTTGAAAAATCTTTAGAAAAATGCATTTTCAGATTCAATGAGCTACCTGCTGGAATTAATGCTATTGTCGCCATTTTATCTTATACTGGTTACAATCAGGAAGATTCGATTATCATGAATCAATCTGGTATTGACAGAGGACTTTTTAGATCGGTTAACATCTTTTTGATTGTTTTTTCAATAGATTTTATCTAATGGATAACTTCGGATTTATAAAACTGGAATAACTGAATTTCGGAAAAGTCTTTGTAATAATTGAAATTTTTTAGGTTTTTTATCGTTCATATCGTGACCAAGAAGCTAATTTAGACAATGCAAATGAAGAATTGATCGAAAAACCTACAAGGTACTTTTTCTTTCCTTTTTGAACTGTCCTTAGAATAAATGCAGTTAACGTTTTTACGTTAATCTTTAAAATAATGCAATATGCAGGGACAAATGTTCGGGTATGCGACATTCACTTTATGATAAACTTGATGAAGATGGTATAATCTCGCCTGGAATGCGTGTTTCGGGTGATGACGTCATCATTGGAAAGACAATCTCACTACCAGATACCGTATTTTTCCAGACTTTATTATTTTTAATTGATATTAAATTATTAACGATCTTTGTTTTGTAACATAAATATTCTTGTTTCAACAAAGTCCTATAACCAGCGTTATTTAGGAAGATGATTTGGATGCAGTAGTCAAACGATATATGAAGAAAGATGCCAGTACATTTTTGCGAAGCAGCGAAACCGGCATAGTTGATCAAGTACTTTTTTTTTCGGGATTTTTTAATATTTTTTTTACAGTGGGAATTGAATATTCATTGTTCTTTGTGTTTGAAAATTTATATCTGCGATGAATTAGGTTATGTTGACCCTGAACACAGATGGTAATAAGTTTGTTAAAATTCGTGTGCGATCAGTACGTTTGCCACAAATTGGTGATAAGTTTGCATCAAGGCATGGTCAAAAAGGTACAATGGGTATGATGTACAGACAGGTTGGTGATCTTTTTCTTGTTGCTTTATGGTATATCTTCTTCAGCCTAATTTTTTCTGAGGAGCAAGGATGCTAAAGGTTGCATCATAAAATTTGTGATTTAATTACTTTGGTATTTGCATAACTTATATGAATGCAGAAATCTTCAGGAAGATATGCCTTTTACAAATGAAGGCATAACTCCAGACATCATTATAAATCCACATGCGGTGCCTTCTCGTATGACAATTGGACACTTGATCGAATGTTTGCAAGGGAAGGTATATAAAAAGATTACTTTTATAATGGGCTTATTTTAAAAGTACAAATTTTCTTTTATTTTTATTATTGTTGTTTAAACAATTGATTTATAAAATATTTCCACTGAAACTTTTTGTCAGTATTTTAATAGTTTTTAATAAATTTGATTACTGAAAATTATTTTCAGTTGTCCGCGAATAAAGGTGAGATAGGTGATGCAACACCTTTCAACGACACCGTGAATGTTCAGAAAATTAGTAATTTATTACAAGAATATGGTTATCATTTGCGTGGTAATGAAATCATGTATAATGGACATACTGGTCGAAAACTCACAATTCAAGTGAGCGGAAATAAATTTCTGTCTCCCATTTAAGAACTTCTCCATGGGTTCAGGTTTGGAAATGGAATCCAATTTTCTTCACTGCTGAATATGTTCAGAGTTTTTATTGAATTTAAATTGGAACAATTTTTTTCAAAGTTTTGTAGGTTTTTTTGGGTCCAACTTATTATCAACGGTTGAAACATATGGTGGATGACAAAATTCATTCAAGAGCTCGTGGGCCTATACAAATGATGAACCGACAGCCCATGGAAGGCAGAGCTAGGTATTTTTTATTTTATTTATTTACTTCTATGATTTATGTTTTGAGGTTCCTATTTTTAAAAAAAATAGGTGTTCAAACTAGGAAATGAAATAATTCAAGGGATGGCGGCCTTCGTTTTGGCGAAATGGAAAGGGATTGTCAGATCTCGCACGGGGCAGCTCAATTCTTGCGTGAACGTCTTTTTGAAGTATCTGATCCTTATCATGTATATATTTGCAATAATTGCGGTTTAATTGTTGTGGCTAATTTACGAACAAACTCATTTGAATGCAAGGTAAATGAAAAAGTTGATTATTTGTTATGATTTGAAACTACTATCTAATGCTTTTGTAATTTGTATTGGTTCATCATAGAGATCTTTAATACACAAAAATATTGAACTACCAATGTATTTTGCGGCAAAGATTTGTAAAATTCATATGAGAGCAGTGGATTTCATTTATAAAATTGAGCTTTGGGTTAAAATATAAGTGAAACTTTTGCAGGCGTGCCGAAATAAAACACAAGTATCGGCATTTCGTATCCCATATGCTTGCAAGCTGTTATTCCAGGAATTGATGTCGATGTCAATTGCACCACGTCTTATGATTTCTTAACTTTGTTCACGTTGTTATTTTGTTTTTTAACTGACAGCTGTTTTATTTGTGTTTTGTTTTGTTGCAGCTGAATTTGAAGTCGTTGAAGGAAAATAGAAATTTACAAGAATGGGACACCAATGTTCAAAAAAATGAGCTTATTGCGTTTTCTTTCTGGTGTATACCGTAGTCAGTATGGCTTGTGTATCGTTAGTATTTCTTATTTTATACAATTGATTGAAAACATCAAGTCACACATTATTTGTTTGAAAACCTCGATGTTTACTCCATTGAAAAAAGCACTGGTGCCACCAAATATATTAATTAGTATTATGCAGGAAATGAATTCGTTAATTAAAGAAGGAAGATGATCATGGATTTCACGGAACGGGAGGGATCTGATTGAATTCTTTATTTTTAATGAACTTCTTTCTACCAATCCAAATAAATTAGCATATAGTGGAGCGTTTTTCGTTAAGTATATATTTTCAGTACTATTGAATGAATAAATGAAAGAGGAAGGCTGTGTTTGTTGTGACACAATTATCTTTCACATGCCAATGGGTTGGTTGTAGATACAGTTGACCCAAATGTATGTGCCATAGCCATATTATTCCTGGTTCCTATAATTTAACAACTGATTCGTTATGTTATCCGCTACCTCTTCACTATTGCTTCTGCTACTACTTTTAGTCTTTAAATCTAACACACAGCGAGTTTTTCCCGGTTTGTTTTTCGTTTTTCATAAATTCTTTGGACTTAATTCCTGGGTTCGTCGTTTGATTTTTGCGGTTGCAACAGTTTCAATTCATTGAAACACAAAGAGGATAATGATGAACAATGTTTAGTACATCTACGCACCGGTTGTTTATAGTTTAAACTCGGTAATCGAAATTGATCAGGGAAATAATCTAGCGGCAAGTCCAATACTCTTAATCCTACGGATATCACTTTGGTACCTTTAAAATAGGTGTCTATTTTGAGAAATAAATTAATTGCAGGAAGTGATGATGAAACTTGGAGAATTGGAGAGATGGCTGCCTCCGGCAAAGGTATGTTTGTTTTAATTTTCCATTTATATCAGAAGAATATTTGGGCAGTATTTTTCTTTTTTTCAAACTATTATTCTTTTTTTTAAACTATTATTCGTATTATTCTTTTTTTCAAACTTGATAAAAGTTCAAGCAACACTTTTCTTTTATACATTTATTGTAATAGAATGTTTTACAACCTATATTGACAGGAAGAAATAACTTTCGAAAAGCTTTATTTCTCCACAGTTAAACAATCCATCAATATTCTATGTTATTTTTAATTTTTGAATGAATTAGTTCTAAAGAAAAATCTCAGAAGCATATACCAGAAATCAAATAGACACCGATCGAATTATCTATCCGTGGTTAAAGCCCTGGTTTAGAGTTGTTGACATGGTGAAACAGGACACGAAAGGATTCAAATTTGCGGATAAAGTATAATTTTTTATTCAATTAATACTTAAGAATTCATTGGATTATCATATATCACATGTTGTAGTCTTCTGTAAGGCGTTATTAAAATATTTGCTTACCCAATACTTACGTTTACAGTTATTGTGTTGTGTAGATGTGTAAGTTCGTTGAAGTGTAGCTGAGACTTCAATTTATAGTAATGAAAATCATTTTAAAAGATGAAGTTGTGTATATGACCAAATTTCATCAATTATTACCACTATTAAATTGCAAAGATTAGAGATGGAAAGATTGTTTCAGGTGCGGAAAGAACCCCAGGAGGATTCAATAAGCTCATCGCGGTCAATATTTGATTTTTTTAAACCAAGGAAGATGGAATCGAATTTCAAACCTAAACCAATATTTCAACGTTTGTTCGATCCATTTGTTAAATCTCTTAATGAGTTTGATCGACTTGCTAAGATATGTTTTTCTTTTGAATATTTTCGAATTAAAAATTTTAATTGAAATAAAAATGTCTGTTTTGTCCAAAATTTTGTTTTTGTCAAAAGTGACCAGTACATTGTAATTCCTAAAAATTTGCTGCTAATGATTGGAATTAATCATTCGTCCACTTACACTTTAAATTAATTTCTATGAATTCTCATATATGCGTTTCTTCAGGATTTGCAGCCGTTCGAATCCACCACAACCTTCACTACATATGTTACGCCAAAAAATGATTTGTTTACAAATGCTGTACTTTTTTCGGAATCTACAATACCTCAGAGCGTAATTCATATCAATTCTTTGGCCAACAACACAACTCTTATCCAACAAACAAAGGTTGCAACTCATCTTTCTAAAATATCATAAAATATAATGAAGCGGCAAATCAATCCGTTTGATACAACATTTCTGAAGTCTTTATCAGGATTTATCGATCTGAAACCAATTCAACTCGATAACCCGTCTACACCAAACTCAATGCTGAATTCATTCATCATTCCTATTGTTTGTAAATACTCGACTACTATGTTGAAACTTTCTAAATTTAAATCGTCTCAATATAAAATATCGCAAATGCACGTCCCAAAACCTGTTCTTTTACCTGATCTTTTTTGTAATCCATTAATACCGAAAAATGTGATAAAAATTTGGAATGGATTGTTACAATAAAAAGATAACTTACGAAATATAAATTTCTCATATTCGTTATACAACTTCGTCTTTAAAAGTATTCCATTATCCAGTTTTGATTTTTGCATCAATTCTTACATTAATCAATTTATTTAATTCATATTAACTTTTTAAAATCATTTTTCTTGTTTTCGGCATAGCATGTAATAAATTTATGCTTCTTTTAGCGTTTTAACACAAGCATAAGTAATATGCCTTATATGATGAAATATTCTATTTAAGCATCTTTTAT